GCACTGAGGTACTGATGACTATGTTTTCATCGCCTATCCTGTTTCCTGACACGCTCGTCATCTCACTCACGCCTCAGTCACAATCTGGCCTCTTTATTAAGGAAGTGTGGGGAACATTTCTAACAAAGCCATTATTGATTTAATGTTTGTCTCCGCTCAAGGACAGACCCTCAAGCCTGTCGCCATCTGAAGTGCTCCTCCAGAGCGCGATGGTTGTGCAAGCAGCACTGTTAAAATGGCTCCTAAGATTGAGCAACAGGCGAGAGAGATAATTAAAAATATTTGAAATGATAGCTGCTGTAGATCATTTTAAAATCCTCTGAATGTCATTGCGGGCAAACAGAAAGCTGACTGACTTATTGCTTGTAAATCGAACGCTTAAAGGGCTCAAAAGAAGCGACGTGCAGCGCTACCTGTTGTTTAACTCTCGCCTCAGGGACAAAGTCACCCAACCTCTCATTTTATACCTATTTTTTTTTTTTTTTTTTTTTTTAACTGATTAAGTTGTGTTGTCAAACTGGAACATCAGTAAAACTATTCAGAACAGTCAGTGTAGATGGTAAAAACCAAAAAAAAGGAGCGTGTGAAAAACATCTAAAGATTTTTGCCTCTTTTTTTTTTTCCTTCTGTTTTTGCTTTGATTTTGTAGTTTTACACCAGCCTTTATTAACAGCATGATAACATAGCATTTAGCCTTAATATTAAATCATAGTACTGTGTGATGCAGACAGAGGGTTCCCATTTGGTCCACTGGATGGTTTTGTGGAAGATCAAACTACTCCAGATTTTGGGAAATCTTTAAGGAAGTGAGATAAAGGGTCTCGTTTACTCAGACTACTCAGCTTCTCCAAAAAGCTGTTGGCTCTGGCCAGTATTTCAGTTCATTAAATGGGCTTTCTGGTGGAACCTGCTTGAGATCGGAGTGGGCTGCATGTGGCCTATGAGCTAAAATGAGTTTTGACATGCCACAGACTGTATTAATCTACTTTAAGACCTTTTGATGCTATTACAAGAGCACTGCTCCCCCTTGTGGCCATTTAGCAGTACAGCAGTTGAAGATTCTGGTTGCAGTCGCTTGTCTCTGTGATAGAAAGAAGATGGAGTAAGGAGACTCTGTTTAAACAAAGTGCTCACATGTACTGAAACAGAACTTATTCGGTTTTGTGTTCTTTCAGGATTTTGGTCTGGATGTGGAGGCCTTTCGACATATGGTGGCAGACTGCCCATCTCACTTCCTGAATTTGGCTATCGCCTGCTGTAATGTAAGAAATAAATTTTGTCTCATGTCATATGTGCTGTTAGCTCACTGCTGCTCGCTTTGTCATCTTGACTTGTGCATGATGTAACCTCAAGTGCAGTGCACTGACCAAAGGTTTGAGCTTCAGTACAAGAGATCAAATTGTTTTGATGTTTGAAGGAAGAGTGTCCATTTTCATTTAGTTACAGTTGCCAAGAGCTTGTACACTTGATCCTGTCATCTTTAGATCTAACAGTAGTTATTGACTCTTGTAACTTGAGCTTAAATGCCAAAAATCCAGAGGAAATGTTTCAGATGCCTCCACATTTTAGTTTTTTTTTTTTTTTTTTATAATTGCTTCCTGTTTTATGACCTGTTTTAACTTTCCATCCTTTTCCTCTAATTTGACAGATGAACGCAAAGCTCCGTCCATCTTTCTCCCAAATCGTAGCAGAGCTGGAGAAGAAACAAGCTGAGAGAAAACAGAAGGTCGAACCAGCTGTCAAAGGTGAGCCATTCTGTAGATGCCTCACTGAAGAGAACTCGGTCTCACTTCTGTAAACTAACACGATTGTTCTGCTTTTAGAAGCAACTTCTCCGCCTGTCAGCCCTGTGCGAAGGCGATCCCTGGGCCTGCTGTTAGACCAGCGTCTCTCCCGCAGCAAATCCGACATGCTCCATCCTTCAGAGACGCCGCCTACTGCTACCTTGGCTCCTCCTGCTCGGTTTAACCCCTTCTCCCAAAGGGAGGATCTCAAAGGCGGGAAGATAAAGCTGTTTGACACGCCCAGCAAGTCGGTCATCTCCCTGACCTTCACGCTGCCTCCTCCACCAGACTGCGATGACACCACTGCATCTGATGCAGATGCTGTCGACATGCCCAGGAGGCACAGGCGCTGCCACTCGCTGCCTTGCACACCTCCTCCACACCTCACGTCGGCACCGAACACCGTTCTCTCTGAGGAGTCTCCGTCTGAGACGGAAGTGAACGACGCAACTGAAGAGGACTGTCTTCTAGAAGACAAGGATGCTTACAGGGCGAGCGATTCAGGTCTCCCTCTGTCTCTCGAGGCGCTGTCAGTAAACATGTTTGACCATGAGAAGGAAGCGAAGCTGCTGCAGCAGCAGGAGGAGGAAGGGAGGGAGGAGGAGCCAATGGACTGCACTAGTTCCCCAGACATGCAAGACAGCACTTCGTCTCCTTACTCTAAACTTTCCTCTCCTCCTTCCCATTTCTCATCTCCCTTACAACCATCCAGTCCTCCTTTCTCAAACGGCTGGGGGTCGGCCATCTCTAACGGGCCTCCGTGCCTGCCACCGCTCTCCAATTTGGTCAACAATAATGTGGTTGTGAGTCGACCACTGGGCTGGAGCACCGCCACCAACAGCACTCCCACAACCAACAACAATGGCTACCACTCCCCAACAGGAGACCCCGCGGGCTCTTCTCCCTTTGGCTCTGGCAGCGGACACTCTCTGGACCAGGAGGAGGTCATCTCCTCATGTCCTGGCTGCTGCCTGGCTGGCCTCCGGTTCCCCTCAGTGTGTCTGAGAGCTCCTCCACGGCGTAACCCTTACAAGAACTTGAACGGAGACCACGCGGCCTCTCACGGGCTGCTTTGTTCAGGACCCAAAGGCCTTCCGCCCTCCCCCACACCCACAACCACAACCACCAGCCTGGAGCCGGGACTCGCCTTGCCTGGGGTGCAGACATAAACCCTGATTCTTCAACACCAAATGCACATAGAGCAGACGTGCAAACTGCACCAAAAGGTCACATTCTGGGGAATTAAGCAGGTCCTCTTTAAAATTTGCACAGATTTTAACGCAGCAATACTCTGCTTATTTTCCAGACACACTTTTTTGGTGCACAGGTGACTCTTAAGTGTTTGGGTCACTTTACAGAGAGACTCCAAAACCGGCTGATTTTCTCCAACAAAGCCGTGGGACGTAAAACTTTTCAGGCGACGCCCTCTGCTGGACTGAGGGTGGCACAGCCTGTGACGTCAGCCGTGCCTGTATAGATCTGATCGGCAGCGTCCAGAACTGATCAGCATGTAAACACTCCAGTCTGGGATCCACATCAGTTGGATGTTGAATATTTGCAGATGTATAGATTGATATGTCAGAGGATCCTGGAATGAGGAATGTTCAGCTTAGTATTATCGTTGTTGCAATGATGTTCGGTGCTGAATGAACAGGCAGTTTTGCTTTGTCTTTAATTATCAGGTGTATGATGCTCTGCTGAGGTGTGTTTGTGAATTGAATGCAGGTGTGTGTGTGATGGATTCAGAGTGTGTGTGATGTACACCATTAAGACTATTTTTGTTGCTGTATGATCTCTGTTGGTCCTTCTGATTGCCTGGTTAAGCACTTCAGCTGTATTATTGTTAATAAGGAAACTGTTTATCATTATATTTGGGAATGAAGGTCTTTGACCTGCTTAAGAGATGTACAGATTCTTATTATTTAAACATGGCATTGAATAAAAAGACAGAATGCACTCATGTCTTTGATCTGCTGTGTCTACTTTGTTTTGGCTGCTTTAGATTCCTGGGGTGTTTCTTATAATCTTTAATCTCTATTTCAGGATAAATTGTCAACAGTTATGACCAAAATCTACAACCTCCATCTGCTTCAAATGTATTTATTTACATTGAAGCAATCCTAAACAGTCATGAAACCCATTATCTATTCTGATGAGCAAAGACAAATCTTTGTGTATTTCCAAAAATTCAGCCCTCCTTTTATTCTCCACATTATGGAAGCTTGTTTTGAGGGTGGGGGGGTTTCAATATTTTGGGGGTTTTGAGTTTGCGCTCCCCTTCTTCTGGTCTCTAAGCTTTATTGCAAAGACATTCTGCAAATTCATAAGCACATATTTTTGTAGTGATTGACCCTGTGGAGCCTCCATCCTCATGGATTAGTACTACTGGAAGTATCTTCCTGTTAAAGGGAGGTTCTTCCTTCCCACGGTCACCAAGTGCTTGCTTTGCTTGTAGGGGTGTTGTCTAATTGTTGGGTTTTTCTCTCCAACATTGTAGGGTGTTTATGAAGTGCACTGCAGCAGCTATTGTTTTTAATGAAGTAATAAACTGAATGAAAATGTGCAGTTTGGTTGACGTTGATCACAAAGAGGAAATCATACATTTAAATAAACATTTAGGTTATCCTTGATGTTGCAGTATAAACGCTGCAAACTGGAAAGTTTTGCAGCGTGTTGTGGCAGTTTGGCAAAGCACCTTTAATAACAGTAGAGAGGAAATTATTTATTGATTTATTTTAAAATGATTTTTTTTTTTTTGTGTGTGTGACCTAAAGGTGTTTGTGGTTTGGAAGCCAAGTATAAAATTGGCAACTGAAATGGGGTTAATGAGTACAGGAGCACCAAACGATCAGTAGAATGAGCACTTCTTTCTTTACCTAATTTCCTCTGGGATTAATAAAGTGTTCTGAATCTCATTACCATCCCAGTCTTGATTTTTATGGCCCTCCTCTTTAAGGAGATTAAAGCCTTTCCTCTCCCTTACAAAATCACCAGCCTTCAATTAAATCCTTCTCTCTCTCCACCCCTTCCACCGTCCTGCTGTCCTCAGGCCCTCATTCTTGCCTGCAGCTTACTCCGTCTCAGTGCTTCTTTACAGGTGCATTTGTCTTGCTTTAAAGGGAGTCAGTCACCTCCAGGACTTTACACGCTCTATAAGCCCTTTCCTGATCCAGAGGTCACCAGGTTGTCATGGAAACACAAAGTATAACTTGGTTGATGGTGCTGCTGGGGTTGTACATCCTGTTCATCACAGGTAGGAACTGAAGTCAGCGTTGCTGTTAAAGCCCCCTGTTCAAACTGTGCTAAAAACCAGTTTGCATCAGGTCTTCTTCTCCCTCTGTGTGCGCTCGTGCTTTAAAGTGTTAACAAAATTGGCACAATCGGACTCTGCTGACCAATGAAAACCTCTGTGTGTGTTATGTGTGTCTATTTTTGGTGTACGGGTTTCGTGCGAACTTCCCAGGGTCGAGCGAGTTAGTCTGTTACACTGCAGTGGAATCACTGGACTTAGGTTGCCTCCTGCAGTGGGATTGTCCCCATGCCAGTCCTAATACCACCTACACTGTGCAGACAAAGACGCAGGGGTAAGTCTGTCTGAGTGTGTGTGTGTGTCAGAGAGGGAGACCTATTCCTGTAACCTCACACACTGATTTTACTCCCACCAGTGCACAGACACTTTGCAGTTTATTGTGTCACGTTAAATTTTTTTCTTTTTTTTTGAGCTCACTTTTATCTCGGCACACTTTATAGCCTTATTTCTGCTGGTGTCTACAGCATTAGGTACGTTAAATTAGATGATCATGATTTTACTGTCTTCAGACACTTTTGGATTTGGCATTGGATCAGCTGTTAATATATAACTGCACAGTTACATTGTGCATACTGATTACAATAAGAATACTGAATAATGTGTATAACAAGAAATACAAATAATTTAGATTCTTGTGGAAAGGCAAACAAGTGTGCATCTATAATACAGAGAAGTTCGTTAGTACCAAAAAATGAGGCCTTCAAAATGATCACACAGTTACAACAAAGCCGAACATTATGAGCTTCACACATGTAAAATTCAGAATACAGAACTGTTGTGAGGTATTATTGTCAACTGGTGTCTCTAATAAAATCCTAAGTAAATGTCCACTGGACGTAATGAAAATAACTTGTGAATTTCAAGATGAAAAGAGGATTGAAATGCAACAAATGCCCAATGTATCTATTTACCGGCCTCATGCTAACATCTAAGGTACTGTGAAACTTCTTGAGCCAGCCCTCATTTCTTCAGATTTTGCTAGGAGAATGGGAAATGATACATTATTGAAACATGAGCGAACATGCATGAAAATGGAGAATATGAGGCAAAAATAGAGACAATTCTAAGAGTCAGTATTTGGTATGACCACCTGGGATCACTGTGGTGCTGAAAAATGAAGCTGCTGCCAGTGTGAGATGATATTACATTGTGGATAAAAATTTTCTTTTCTGTATTCATAATTTCATCAATGTTGACAAAATTTCCAGCAGCACTGACTAAAATAGAGATACAGAAACCATGAAAGAGCCTCCACTGTGTTTTATACTATGTGTTTTGTGACAGGCTGCTAGTATCCCCTAAAGATAAATGTTTAAATTGGCTGTTTGCTAAGTTCTCTGTTAAGTGTAGACACAACACTTGGTTGTAGACAAAACCCCCGAGTACAAGGACTGGACTGAAAATGGATGAAAAAGCATCCAAGATCCTAAGAAAAAACTTAAGAGACCTACAGGAAGCCTGCTGTTCAAGAGCACTTTAAAAATGACAGGATAGTCTGATTCAAAGAAAAAAGGGTTGGCTTAAGACATTCCAAAGTCTGCTTTGCAGCTAGCTCTGACATTACATGTTTAAATGGTATGCATATATGGTAAATTATATTATATGTAACTTTAAAGTTAATTCTAAATGCAATACTTACTTGTTCTTTAATTTTGGTGTTACTATTGCAGGGACCCGTGGCAGGATGTGCCATGGTGCATCTGGATCTCGTCCCGAAGCTGTGACATCTCTCAGGTCTTCTCAAACTTTGAGCTCTACAACATGATTCGCCTTGGTGTTCACCTCAGTCCCAGCTCCACTGTGTGGCTCAAACCACGCAAGTTTGACTACAGTGACTTCAGTAAGTAACAGTCCGTAATGTTTCTGTAATGAAGCTAAGTGAAAATGTGCCACAGACTGAGGAGACTCTGCAGGTTTACTTTTCAAATATCATGGGTGGTTTGAATTTGAAGCCTCTGTCTCTCCTCTGCAGACTTCAGTCCTCCTTCTGTTTCCGTCTCTTTGAAAGACGACCAGATGGTGGTGCAGGTGCACTTCCCCTGTGCTGCCAACAGGAGGTGCTCTCTGGAGAGGTGCTGTCCCATCTCTAAGTTGATTGATCCCTGGACCACAGTGACTGTGTATACTGAGCAGAGTGGTGCAGAATACCAGGTGTGGCTATGCTTTGTCTCCAGTTCTACTGATATTTAAGAACAAGGAAGTATTGTGTTCAAAAGGAACGTTAAAGCTAAATACACTTTAAATATGTAGTGTTAGCTTTAGGTTTTTCTTTGGCTGCTTTGTCACTGATTTTAGCTCAGTTCTTGTACCTGTACCATTTTCAAGGGAATGTTTGTTTGTTAAGCTACTTCAGATTGACCTATGAATCATTCAAGCAGCAGTAGTGGTAGTAGTACCAGCTACACATTATACATGCTTGTTTCTTGCAGAGCCGCACAGTCTGGACTCAGGAGGTCGTGTCGTATGTGGAGTTCTCCGGTTTGCCTCTGGGTCAGAAATATTGTGCTGAGGCCAACTTCTCCTTCCCAACCTTTGCCATGGCGGCTTCACCGAAATCAGCCCCTCAGTGCGTTGAAACAGTCGCCAGTTCAGGTGAGGAGATGAGATACAGTTTACTTTAAAAACTAGAGGTTCCCAAATTAGCAGCTACCTGAACCATCTTCACGTTCGATAGCTTAAGAAATCACTGCTGCTTCTATAGTTTTGACACTGAGAACAGAAAACAGACCTGTCCATGGATCATTCACAACACATCCTACTTTCATTAGTTATGAGGTCCAAAATACTGCTTAGGTGCTATTAGGATACTAAGAACCTCCCATGAAACTGCAAGAAAGCCTCATAAAGACAGCTGTGCTTGGATCCTTAAACGATGTGAACCGCACTTTATAAGTCCAAGAGGTCAGCTAGATCTACTGCAGAAGCTTGGCTTGCCTCTTCCTACAGCTTTTCTGGTGATACAACTTGTAAATCTTGGGTCTGAAATGATTTAGTGTAGTTCTCTGCTTTTTTGAGCAGAGACATGTTCAACCTGCATGCATTTCTTCCCTACAGGGCTGCTGCCAGCGCTGTGTATGGGAATCGGGCTGACTTCCCTTCTTCTTTTCCCAATTCTCATCATGTATCTACGAAAATCAAGACAAGCTACACCAGCCACTGAGAATCAGCCCAAGGCTCCGGTATGATTTATTGTGTTTCACTTTATTTCACCCTCTGTTTTTATAAAATACTTAAACACATGCAGTTTTCCAGAATAAAACATTTCTTCTTTCATTCCTTTAGTCGTCTGTTCAAGAGCCGATCCCTTTGGTTCCTCTGTCCCCGGGTATAGTTGACCCTTGTGAGATCCACTTGGAGTTTATTCCTGACCATGTTTCCACTGAGCCCTTTTCTGGCATTGTGTCCAATCAGAATCTAAATCACAAACAGGGAAGCATGCACTCCAGCAATCGTCTCAATTATGACACCAAATCGGATGAAGTGTACTGGGACAGCGGAGGGATGGAGCTAGATCGCGGCCTGGACTCTGGTATCAGCATCCCACCTGTTTCTCGCTCTTCTGAAGAGACATGTGAGCCCCATGGAGACTGAAAGGTTGAGAGCTTTCTCTTCGTGAATGTTGCTCTGTAAGGCTGGAGTTTGCCTCTTTCTCCCTCAGGGATGAAATAGGAGACTAAACTGCTCAAAGTATGGACTGGTCCATTTAAAATGTTTGGATGTGTTTCATCTATTATGGTCAAACACATTATGATTATCTGGAAGTTGACAACAAGTTGTCTTCATAGATTTTGGAAGCTAGACCTTTAAGCAAACATTGATGAGAAGGCCCTAAACACAGGATAAATTGAAGCCTTAAAAACTATAGTTTCAGAAAACCTTTTCTGCTGATGAAAACCAAGTGATAGGACTGAAGCCTACTGACTGACTGTTAAATAGATATCCAGGTTCAAAAATGAACTGTAACAGGAAACAATTGTCTTTTCCCCAGTTTGTAAGTACACATACACAAAATCTTTAGCTGAAGTCAAGAGCACCTGGTTAGATTTTTTTGTCTACAAAAAATAAATAAATCTGCAGAACTGAGTTAACTACAATTACATTAAAAAAGAACATTTTCACAGGACTGGATAGAGCCTAAAAAAATAAGTACACCCCATGATTTGGGTGTCCAGAGGAGTTCATGGTGTTTTTCTGTTTTAGTTTTTCTGTGAAGAACTTTGTGATTTTTGTCTTGAAAGGTGCTATACAAATAAAATTTTACTTTACTTACTTACTTACACAATGACTCCAAGGTCCTGTGCCTGCAAAACAAGTCTAAATCATCACCCGTGCATCACCGTGTGTCACAGTGGCTATGACGTGTTTGGTTTTCTCCAAATGTGGTGCTGTACTTCATGGCCACACATCTCCATTTAGGTCGCATCTGTCCAAAGAACATTGTTCCAGAACTTCTGTGGTTTGTTCAGAAGCAACTTTGCAACCTCAGCCGAGCTGCCTGGGTTTTTTTTTTTTTAGAGAGAAGAGACTTTCTTCTGACAACCTCTCCAAACACATCAAAAAATGCTGTTTTTTTTTCTAATTGTTCTGATATGAACCATTTAAGTGACTAGCTGAGCCCTGTAGTGTCTGAGAAACAGCAAAAAACCCATAAGCTATGTCTACCTTGAGGTGAATTTGCTGGAATGGAAACTCCTGGGAAGATTTAGCAATGCGTTAAAACACAAATCAGATAACTGCCTAAACGTCTGCTTGCATAGAGGCTGTCAGACTTGCTGATGAATAGGTAATCAAGTGATTTGATTATCACCACCCTCTTCATTTCTGTCGAAGCAGTAAAAGATGTATTTAGTTTTTCATAGGATTACACCAAACCTGCGATCGCTTACTTTTTCACATGACTGCAGACGGCCCAGCACTGCAACTACAAAGACAACAGTTTGAACCATTAAGATCTGTTAGCTTAATATTTTAACCTTTATTCAACTACTTCTAGTACAAAATAGCAGTGATACGTTGTGTTCACCAGTGACCATTTCCCCCCAGTTATCCGTTATCAGCAAATAATTTCAGTTATGCTATTAGCTATTTCGATTGTTATCCATGCTGTTAGCTTGCAACTGTGTTTCTATTGTCTATCCATGATATTCAGTGGTATCATTAGCTTCTCAAATATCTCTAACTGTTAGCCATATTGCTTTTTAATGATCAATTTCTATCATTTGTTCACATTTTGGATGTGTATAGTTAAAAGTTATTACATGGGCTGACCTCCTGGGAAGATTGTAGCAACACATTAACGCACAGTTGTGCTATTAGCTATTTCAGCTGTTATCCTTTTTATCTTACAATTCACATGCAAGCCACTGTACTACTGTATTTTAACTGTTTATCCATTATATTCGATGCAATATCGTTTGAAATATGATAGCCAGACTGCTAATTACCCTTTTCTATCATTTTGACCAATATTTTTTAAAATAATTTATGCATATTGCTGTTACTTAGTTTTTTAATTCTGCTTCTTTCTTTTTTTTGAGCGGGGCGCTGTCATGCTTGTTCAAGTCCACCCAGTTCTGTAAACCCCCAGCTGCTGTAGAAACAGGCTACATCCTAATTGGGAGTTACTGTGAGGCTTATAATGGGTCCTCAGCACCCAATACTTGTCTTCTATTTTGGTTCTAATTAACAGACTGGCTGCTGTGTTGGTTGGTCAGGGAACACCAGGGTTGTCCAATGAGTTTTCATGAGTTCACACCCCCCAAGGAGCGTCTTTGACGTGGATAATGGCTCCCTTAGGTTTGTTTGGGTGCCGTCTGTGCTTAACTCGGACCTCTGAACTTTCCTTCTCAGATTAGGCATCACATTGCAGAGGCAGCGATAAACAGAGGCCACCGGTTTACTGCTCACACTATGATTGTGTTTTGTTGTCCGCTATGAAGTAATAGAAATGTGGCTCCTAATCTGAAACCTACAAGCAGATTCCTGTCAGATATGAGTCAGTGTTTCAGGAAGAGGGTCAGAGAACTAGATGGTGAGTGAAAATTATCAGTCAAGCAAAAATTGTTTATCTGGGAGGTCCAAAAGAAGCCGTTTTGTGTGCATGTGTAAACGTCAACTTACTCGGAGAGTGGTTCTTGTCCCCCCTGCTTTTTGTGCTGTATTCCACTCCAAACCATAGCTTCATAAACAAGAGCTAGGAAAACTTTAGACCCCCCACATACTGCCGGCAGCTCTGCCGATAACATAGTGTGTTATTTTTCTGTCATTCATTGCTGTAAAATGTTTCTGACTCACAGTTGCCCCATCAGAGCTTTGCTGCCTCTAACCCGTGACTCGCACCTCATCCTGCACGAAGACAAGAAACATCTTGACATCTCACTTTTTTTCCTTCTGTTTTGCTGGTGTTGCATTCTTTCCGCAACATTGGGAAGTCCTGCGGGTTTGGCCATCCAATATTGTTTGTTTCCCCATCTGACTTTTCCAGAGTCCACAGAGACCTGGGGGTTACCAAAGCTCCACATACAAGCCTTTGGTTTGGCTTTGTTAATAACTACAGCGCATTATCTGCCATTTGTATTATTCAAGAAGTTTTCTTGGACAGGGTATTTTTTATCAGCCTCCAGTCTGTGACAGCTCTCTGCTTCCTGATAATGACATGGAGTTTACCTATAACGCTTGTTTACAAACTGATAAATTATCCTTGTAGCAAAAACTGTCGTAATCTTAAAGGTAATCACGTTTTCCTCTTAAGGCTTAGTTAATTTTGTTGAAAGTGATGGCTTTTTAATATCATCCCTAATACCTAATCTACATGTAGTTTAACACAACTGTACACAATGTTTAGAGCGCCTCTTGATCATTTCGCAGCAGTGAGGTTTTTATGTTTTTCTGGTTTGGATGTGTGCTGGCCCTTGAGAGACTCCTAATTTAAAAAGTCATTGCTTCATTGTATAAAGCAACAAGCAATGTGAAGAAAAAAAAATATATATTTGTGATTTCTAATCCTTGAATGCAGCTCAGCTACAAAAGAGTTTGATAAAAATAGAACTGGTACTAAAACACTGCTTACAGTGTAGCGAATCTCTTCATGAGCGAAATGAAGAGTAACTCCTACCTGGTATTGTGTGAAAAACAAATTGCCTCCTAAACCTAATAACTGGTTTTGCTGTCCTTCCCACTAAGAACTGCAATCAGGCATTTGTGATTACTGGCAGTGAGTCTCTCACATCACTATGGAGATACTTTAGCCACTCCTCTTTGCACAACAGTAGTCACTTTCCCAGCATGAGCGACCTTTTGAAGGTCCTTTTAAAGGTCATGCCAACATATTTTAATTGGATTTAAGTCTGGACTTGGACTAGGCCACTCCAAAACCTTCATTTTGTTTGTTTAGCCATCTTGAATTGGAGTCCCTGCTGTGTTTCTGACCATTGTCCTCCTCTATAACCTGAGTGCTCTCGAGCTACAGGGCATGAAGTGATGATCCAATACTCTCCTTCAAGGTTGTTTGGTAGAGAGAAGAACTCATAGTTCCAACAATTACAGCAAAGCAGCCTCAGACCATCACACTACCATCACCATGTTTGACTGCTGGTATGAAATGCTGTGTTAGTTTACGTCTGCTCAAACAGGACTCCAACCCTTCAAAAAGTTAGGTCAGTAGTAGTTTTTTCCTTGAACTCTCCCATGGATGGCATTTTTGCCCAGTCTCTCTCATATTGTTGAATCATAAACTCAGAAATCAGTAATAGGGGCAAATACGTTTTCTCTTTAATATAATAAAGATGCTGTTGGATGATTAACCATTGTGAAGTAACCCCTGTGGGTTAAAAGTTCAGCTAATACTGAACTAGATGAGGTTTGTTTTCAGTGAAGATTTCAATCATACTGGAGGGACAGAGGACCTGACCTTAGTTGAGGTGAGGTAGGTCCAGAATTTCCAGGAAGGCCTCTTTATTTATTCTCTGTCATCTGATCAGGATATTTGGTTTTGATAGATTTGTTTTATACCAAAGGGCATCTTCTTGAGCCAATGTGTAAATCTTCCAGGTCAAAAGAACGATTCTGTTTGTGGTCACCGTTCCTGGGTACAGAGCAATCGCATGGCGAATGAAAACTGCCAGTTTGTGGTTGAACCTGATGTATTTGGACTGTTTTTGAGAGCCATTCAACAGCTGCAGTCCAAAAGTTGCATAATGTCAGGAAAAACCAAAACAAACCAAAAAAACCCCCAGATGTGCTTACAGACTCAAAACATTGGTTCAGTTTAGTTTAAGTATTAAAGTGTACACATCACCTTGCTGATAAATGACACTAATATTCACCTTTAATTCTCATATTAACATTTAAGAGACCGAATTAATAGTTACAGATTTTAATAAGAGCTACCATAAAAGTTTGAGACTGTTCATTTCTTTGTAAATGAGTAAACTTACAAATCGAGCAGGTGATGAAATAATTATTTCATTTAGAGTAAGGCTGAACTTGATAACTAACAGACCAAACACTCTGGGTCATTTAACATATTTTAACTTGTTGTTACACACTTGTAAAACAAATAACCAACTTATCAGAAATGAATACTAATAAAT